TAAAAATCAAAGGATGGAAAATAATATTCTGTGCCACTGAAATCCAAAAAACAGCAGGTGTAGCTTTCCTGTATTCACACAAAGTGAATTTCAAGCCAGAACTGATCAGAAAAGGCAAAGAAGGTCATTGTGCATTGTGGGTATTCATAGCTATAAAATTCCTATTAGGACATTTACTGAAGCTTGCTTTATTGGCTAGTAAATGGTCTATTTTGGAAAAAGTTCCATGTCCTGTTGAGAAGAATATGCATGTTGTGTATTCTGTTGTTAGGTGTATTCTGTAATGAATAAATATAAAAGAATTGAAATTATACCAAGCATATTATCAAATCATGGCACAATGAAACCAGAAATCAATAACAAAACACAAATTATGCAAATACATGAAAACCAAACAATATGCTCTTAAATAAACAATGGATTGCAGAAATCAAGGAAGAACTAAGGCATTTTCTACAAATAAAGGATGCCAGTATAATGTACCAGAAACAAACCAAAAAAGAGAACTACAGGCCAATCTCTTTAATGAACATACATGCAAAAATCCTCAACAAGGTACTGGCAAAGAGAATTCAATGAATCATCAAAAAGATCATACTGGGGCCAGTGATTTAGCTCAGTGGTTCCACTGCCTGCCTCACAAGCTCAAAATCCCAAGTTTGATCCCCGGAACCAAAAAAAAAAAAAAGATCATACCTAATGACCAGGTAGGCTTTATCTCAGGGATGCAAAGATGATGGAGCATATGCAAATCAATAAATTAATCCATCACAAAAACAGAAGCAAGGACCAAAAAATTGTACAATCATATCAACAGACACAAAAGATCTCAGACAAATCCAACATCCTTTTATGATTTAAAAAAAACCCCGAAGAAAATAGATTTAAAAGGACCTTACCTCAACCAGATAAAAGCCATTTATGACAAACTTACTGCCAAGATCATATTAAGTGAGGAAAGCTGAAAGCTCTCACTCTAAAATTAGGAACAAGGCAAGGTTGTCCACTATCTCCACTCCTGCTCAGTAGTACTCAAAACATTAGCCAGAACAGTTAGGCAAGAAAAATAAATAAAAGAGATTTTATAGGAAAAGAAGAAGTAAAATTATTATTTATAGATGGCATGATTCTTTACATGGAAGACTCAAAAATTCCACTTGAAGACTCTAGTAATAACCAAATTCAGAAATGTAGCAGGATATAAGATCAACACAAAAATCAATAGCATCCCTACTCACCAATAATAAATCCCCTGAGAAAGAAATTAGGGGAAAATCCTATTCACAATAGCACCAAGAAAAGTTAAATACTTAGGAATTAAGGAAGTGAAAGACATCTACAATGAAAACTACAATACTCTGTAAAAGGAAATTGAAAGGAACATTAGAAAATGAAAAGACACCCCATTCCTGGATAGACAGAACCAATATAGCCAAAATGGACATACTTCCAAAATTGATAAACATTTAATGCAATCTCAATCAAAATAACCACATTCTTCACAGAACTGGAAAAAACAATCCTGAATTCATATGGAACCAGAAGAGACTTAGAATAGCAAAAGCAATTCTCAGTAACAGAAGCAAAGTGGGAGGCATCACAAATCCAGACCTGAAGTTATAAAGCTATAGTATTAAAAACAGCATGCTACTGGCACAAAAACAGACGTGAGGTTCATTGAAGCAGAATAAAAGATGTAGAAACAATCCCAGGCACATTCAGTCATCTGATCTTTGACAAAGAGGTCAGAAACACACTGGAGGAAAGATAGCCATCTTTCTCAAAGACTAGAAGTTTGCTTACAAAAGCAACGCCTCACATAGGCACATTCAGTCATCTGATCTTTGACAAAGAGGTCAGAAACACACTGGAGGAAAGATAGCCAGCCATCTTTCTCAAAGACTAGAAGTTTGCTTACAAAAGCAACGCCTCACGTAGGCACTTCTCAAAGTCATAGACAGGTGGCAGCAGCCTTGAAGGGACTTGTTTTAGATCCTGCCCAGTTGTACCAAGTGTCTAATTGTATGGGTCCAGAGAGTGAAAAGGGGATGCTCTTCTCCCTAAGGCTCCTTTGCCTTGTTTTTCCTTTTCTGCTTAATGTCTATTTGAATTGAAATCAGCATGCTGCTTCTCAGAACTGGGGACCATCAGCATCCTCCTAAGAAAATGTACATTTTTCTTTTAAAAAATAAAACTGACAATACTTTAAAATTTGTTTCTCTTCTGTATTCATGTAACAAACAGAAGTGTAAACACTAGAGTGACTGTTGTGGGAGGCTCTGGTGCCCGAAATAGGGCACTGTCCCCCTGTGGGGAGGAAGAGCAGGGTGTACTGCTGGCAGGCCCGAGGGAGTTCCTGTGGGCTCCAGGTGGAGGCTTCCATTGTCATGAAGATAAGCCCTTGGGGGTGGGGGCTGCTTACTTTTGCTTTTATAGACATTGGAGGCCAGAAACATAATACTCATTACATCATGTAGAACTCTTAGCTGATGTTTTTGATCAAGAAAATTGTTCCTTGACCCATAGTCACTTAATAAAGTTTATATTTTGAAAGATCTTACTGCCTAATTAATGGAAATTAGATTGACCATGTTAACAAAAAGCATAAAACTCAGAATCCTACTACTTGATGTTGGTTTTGCTCTGACATTCAGACCAGTGACTCACTTTATCCTTTGTCCTTACTCTGTCAGTCAACCTTGTGTGCCACAGCTGTCACCATCACACTGATATTCACTGAAAAGTTTCAAAACCTCCTTTACCTGGCCATGGTATGTCACTCTCCCAATCAATGGGAAGGTAACACAAAGGATAATAAGTTATATATTAGGGTCTTTGAGCCGACAAAAGGTACCATCGATAGCCTGGCTATGTGAACCAGGCTGTAAACCTCTACAAAAAGTAGGTGGAGAAAAAAATTTTGTTGTTCAGTTTTCTAGATAAGGTGCCGGGTATAGTAAAAAGAGCAGGCTTTGGCATTTATAGTCTTGGGTACAAAAACAGCTCTGGATAAACATATCCAACTTCTCTAATATTTATTATTTGATAAAAATATTCAAAATCCAGTCTTACAGGTTTTTGAAATATGTATTATCTGTAGTCACCTGTACTGTGCAATAGAACACCCGAACTTACCTTTTACCCACTGACCACCCTTTCTCCTTCCTTCTTCCTCCCCTCTCCAGCCTCTTATAAACCACTAATCTACTCTCCATTTCTGTGAGATCCTATGTATGTCTTTCTGTGCCTGGCTTATTCCACTTAACATAATGATCTTCAGTTTCATCCATGTTGTCAAAAACAGCAGAATTTCTTTATGTATATATACTATATTTTTATCTATAAACATAAATAGATGTCCCCCCAAAGCCTCATGGGTCACAGCAGAACTTTTGGGAGGTGATTGGATCATGGTAGCACCATACCAATGAATGGGTTAGTTCATAGCTAATGCGCTCTGAGGAAGTGGGGCCTGGGGAGAAGAGGTGGGTCACTGCGGGGGTGGTCTGGAGGGTGTAGCCCCCCCCTTTCATTCTCTGGGTCCTGTCTACCTTGCCCTCAGCAGCTCTCCTCTGCCAGGCCCTGTGTGATGCTGTCCTTCCTTGGGGCCAGCAGACTGGACTGAAACACAAGCCAAAATAAACCACCTTCTTTGCAGGTGTTAGTATTTTGTCTCAGTGATGGAGAAAGCAATTAAGATACCATCCATCAGTTGATGAATACTTAGGTTTCCATTTCTTGGCCATTATGAATAGTACTACAGTGAACGTGGAGTACCTGTGTCCCTTCCACATTATTGATTCCATTTCCTTTTATACTTACCCAGGAGTGGGGCTGCTGGATCATACAGTCATTCTAGTTTTAATTATTTGAGAACCCTCCATACTCCTTTCCATAATGGCTGTGCTCATTTACATTTCCAAGTGTTTCCTTTTCTCACATCCTTGCCAGCACTTATCTTTTGTCATTTTGGTAATTCTAATAGGAGTAAGGTGAAAATATGGTTTTCATATGCCTTTTCCTGATGATGATGTTGAACTTTTTTTTTCATATATCTGTTGACCATTTGTATGCCTTTTGAGAAATGTCTGTCTAGGTTTTTTGAAACAGAGTCTCTCTATGCAGTTAAGGCTGGCATTGAAATCACTATATAATTCAGGCTGGCCTTGAATGCACAGCAATCCTCCTGCCTCAGCCTCCCCAGTGCTGGGATTACAGGTATGCACCACCATGCCCAGCTCTATTGTCCATTTTTAAATTGGATTATTTGAGCTCCTTATGTGTTTGGATGTCAACCCTTTCTCAGATGTAGTAGTTTGCAAATATTCTCTCCCATGTTAGGTTGTCTCTTCACTATGTTGATTGTTTATACTTTGCTGTACAGAAGCTTTCTAGTTTAATGTAATCCCATTTGTCTATACTTGCTTTTGTTGGCTGTGCTTTGGGTGTCTTTTCCCAAGTATTTTTACCCATTCCAGTGTCCTGAGGCATTTCCTCTATATTTTCTTCTGGTAGTATCATAGTTTCAGGTCTTACATTTAAACTTTTAACCTGTCTTGAGTTGATGTACATAACTGGTGAAAGATAAGTGATTTTGTAACTAGCAAAAGTCTAGTTTCAGGCTGGGGATTTAGCTTAGTAGTTCTGCCAACTGCCTTGCAAGCTCAAGGACCTCAGTTCGATCCCTGGTACCAAAAAAAAAGATCTAGTTTCATCCTTTTGCATGTGGACATACAGTTTCCCTAGAACCATTTGTTGAAGAGAACCTCCGCCAACTTTGACAGCTGAGGAACTGAGAGGTGGGCACCACACTGTGTATAGATCTCCATGAGAAGTAGTGGCCACCATTGGCACAGAGCTTCCAAGACCCTTTCTGAAGACTTCACTGTACAACTACTTGTTCCTAAACAGCCACCTTCCAGTTTCTCCTTCTCAGTGTATTGTAAGCGTGGGTATGAAAGTGTGACTTTAAAATTATGTTATTTGCTTTCTTCTTTCAGATCTGTAAGAGCAAAGCTAAAGAATCACAGCAGTATTACCACAGCTTAGCTGTTCGGCAGAGCCTGGCTATCCACTTCAACATCCAGCAGGACTGTGGTCATTTCCTTGCTGAAGTTCCTAACCGTCTGCTTCCCTGGGAGGATCCTGATGTCCCTGAAAAGACAGAGGATGAAATAGAAGAGAGGGAAGAAGAGCTGAAAGGAGAAACTGGCAAGGGAAACTCAGAGCCATGCTGTGAAACTGAGTCATCCCACGAGAGCCAGGGAGTCACAAGCAAGAAGCAGAGAAGCCATGTTGTAGTCATCACTAGAGAGGTTCCCCATCTCACGGTAGCCGATTTTGTGCGAGACTCTCTGACCCATCACAGCAAAAGCCCTGATGTGTATGAGAGGCAGGTGTGTCTGCTGCTCTTACAGCTGTGCTCTGGCCTTGAACACCTCAAGCCCTACCACGTCACACACTGCGATCTACGCCTAGAGAATCTGCTGCTTGTCCACCACCAGCCTGGGGGAACCACCCAGGGCCTGGGGCCTGCAGAGCCCAGCCCCATCTCCTCCTGTCCCACAAGGCTTATCGTGAGCAACTTCTCTCAGGCCAAGCAGAAGAGCCATCTGGTGGACCCGGAGATCCTGCGGGACCAGTCCCGCCTTGCCCCGGAGATCATAACGGCCACTCAGTATAAGAAGTGTGATGAGTTCCAGACAGGCATCCTCATCTATGAGATGCTGCACCTACCCAACCCCTTCGATGAGAACCCTGAGCTGAAGGAGAGGGAGTACACGCGCGCAGACCTGCCTCGCATTCCTCTCCGTTCCCCCTACTCTAGGGGCCTGCAGCAGCTGGCCAGCTGCCTCCTGAACCCCAACCCTTCCGAGCGCATCCTTATATCTGATGCCAGAGGCATTCTGCAGTGTCTGCTCTGGGGCCCCCGTGAAGACCTCTTCCAGACCTTCGCTGCCTCCCCGAGCCTGACACAGAGGAATGCCCTATTGCAGAACTGGCTGGACATCAAGAGGACCCTGCTGATGATCAGGTTTGCCGAGAAGTCCCTGGATAGAGAGGGTGGCATCAACCTCGAGGACTGGCTTTGTGCTCAGTACCTGGCTTTTGCTACCACAGACTCCCTCAGCTGTATTGTGAAGATCCTGCAACCCCGTTAATGTGGCCCAGATGCTGCTTTTATTACATCTGCTCCTCTTCATGTTACCCCACGCGTCCCTGTGCTGGTCCTCACCCAGAACTCAGAGGATGAAGAGAGCCCTTCCATCCCTGTCCATGAACAAATGGGTCCATTCAGGAAGTTACTCACTGCTCCAGATCAAGTGAGAAGCTGTTTTAACTTTACAGAAATGCAGCTGTACAAACACATGGTTACTTCCTTGGAGCACCTTCCATCCTCATAGTCCCTTCCACGTGGTGAAAACTGCCTGTACATCTCCTTGAAGGATCTGCTCCTGTGGTCTGTACTCAGTGAGCTGCGTTCAGTTCTGGCGTAATTCTGATGAGCACCTGACTTTTAGCAGCAAGTATTTATTCTCACGATAATAGCCAGGCACAGCCAGCCTCTGCCAGGATCCAGTCACCTTTCGAAGCAGCCACCTCCTCTCCTTAAGGTGTTGGTAATGAAGTCTTTATCAGGCAGACCTGTCATACTTAGCATTGGCTCAATTTTGTTTGCCAGGACTGTGTCCTTTGTTCCAACGGGCAGTAGAAAGAAAAAGATTCCTGGTCCTTTTCATTTTTATTACCAATAAGTGTGTGCACTGCATGGAGGATGGCCTTAATAGCCTCCCCTATGCTGCCTCTGCCTGGCTCTTCTTCACCTCTACTCTGTCCCCACTTGTGGCCCATTATAGAGCTGACCCTTAGTAATGTTGCCAGTGCCTCAGCAGGGTGCAGTGAGTTGAGAGCTTATGAATGCTGACAGGGGATGAGGAGATGATTTTCTTGCATGTGCAATTCACAAGGGGCCACCAGGGAACAGAGCTTAAAACACCATTCTTTGATTTCTGTCAGCATTGGCCACCGGGGTCAGCAGGGCCTGGATCCAAGTTCTCCCTTGAGCAGTGATTGGCTACCTTCCTATTGGTAGCCAGGGTTAACTGGTTGACCAAATGCTGTAACACAGCCCAGAGTGAAGTGGCCATCTGTTTTATCTCTGAGGTCTCCTTAGATGGCAGTGTGAGAGGCTGACTACTGCAATGGCCAGAAGGCAAAGGAAGGGAAGATGGCCACTGATGAGACAGCTGGCCTCTTCCAGAGAGTCTGCACCACAGCCTGAGTGGCACCTTCCTCCCAGGACTCTCAAATGGCTCCGGAGGACAGCTCGAAGAAAGGCAGATGGCTGAGGGCTGGCTGAGGGCTGTTCACCATGGAGCCATGCTCCTGTGCCATGGATGTATGTGCAATTTCTGTATGTATGTTTTAGCTGTATATTACAGTGGTTATGTTGCAACGTCACCTGAAGCAAGATCTGCAGAAACCCTCCCTCCCTCTTCCCTCTGCACCTATTTGCACCAAGCCAAGTATTCCTTCCCTTGTGTGTGCACGTACCCACTTGTTTATTCAAAACTGTGAGTATCTGTTTACTTCAGCTTGGAGTCCCACAAGTTGCTCGCACAGTGTATGTGTGCACACATGCTGGGGCAGAGGCCGGGCCTCGGGAGCAGCCTGTGGCAGCGCTGACAGACCTGTGCTCTGTACAGTCAGTGAGGGAGCCTGGGGCCCTCAGCTGCCTGTAGAGTTTCCTAAAGCTGAGATGGACTGTGCAGTATTACTTAAATGGCACATTAGTGGCCTTGGAAATTTCTAAACTTTTAATATTTTTAACAGCCTTTCATGTGATTCACCTGTATCAAAGAGGATCAAGAAAGCAGAAGAATGTATTTTATTGTGCTTTGCTTTTTTTTTTTCTTTTAAGAGAATGACATCTGTGAGGCTCAACCTGAAAGAGGCCCTTGTACTCCAGGACTTCGGGAAGGCGGGCTGGTTGGCCCCAAATTCTTGCCTTCTCTGTGCAGAGGGTAAGCTTGGCCTCTGGCCTATGGCTTGGCTGCCTCGCCAACAGGTGGCATTTGGTTCAGTACACAGAGCCACGTGCACATAACTCCTTGCCTGATTATGCACTGAGCTGGCCGTACACTTAACCACTGCCCACATCAGCACCCTCCATGGTTCGCAAATTGAGACCTACCTTCTCAATGTCATTTTCGCGGTGCCTTGCCATGTAGATTTGAATGTTGACTATTTAATGAAGTTACATATTTAATGCAGAATGTTCCTTGGTCCCTCTGTTTGTTCTGTCCCTAGGTATCTGTGTTTTTTCCATTTTTCCCACTATGACTTGGATCCAGTCTTTACAGTAGAATAAGATGGGCACCTCCACTACCGTTGTCTGACAGCACTGGGAAACTGAGCACCTCTTCATACCACGTGTCTATTACTGTTTCATGTCCACATTTGTGAAGGGCCAAGGATGCGTGCCAAGAAGTCTAGAAGGGACTCCAGTGACGGCCAAGGAACGTGACGGTAGGAGAGGAGAGTGGGACAGATTAGAGCAGGAGAGAGAAAAACTGTTTGTAGGCAAGACGCACATCAGATGGTCCTCAGAATATTCTTCCAAAATAATGAAACTGTCTAACATTATGAATATTTTATACTTCCATTTTAATTTTGATAGAAACTTGGAATTCATTTATCAACTGGAAATTCTACCCTATGTAGACACGGTTACACATTTTATATACATATATATATGTATATGAGTTTTGGGTTGCAAATAGCATAGCACTTTTTCTTAAGTAACATCAAGTTACTGTCTTCAGTACTGATTGGAAATGTTTTTCTTTTCTATCAGTCCACACTATGGATTCTTTCATTTCTGTTGAGCGTTTGAACAATTAACCCTTATAGAACTCCTAAAGCCGTGCCAGCATGAAGAATCTGACGCTCTGGGGTCCTGGGGAACAAGACAGTGACCGGAGCAGATGAGATCAGGCGTGAATGTATCACAGAGTGCCTTGTTGGAGTGCAGGGTGGTCTTGGCAAGAGGAGTGGGGTTCTACAGAGGACAAGGTGGTGGAGAGCCCTCTAGAACATGTACAGTAATGTGCCAGGCAGAAACTAGGCACGAACAGCCATGGATGGGAAAGGCTGTTACAACCTGTGGAGCTGTAGTGTGGGAACTGAGTGGGGCCTTCAGCCTGAGGCTGCTAGCATTGGAAGCCAGGAGTATGACAATGCCTTTGGGGATGTGCCCTCAGAGGGCAAAATGGGTGAAGGGCTAAAGGGACCCAGCACCCATACTCCATAATTACCAAGGGGCCGGGAGTGAAATACATGAGGGTTTAGTATCAGATAGGCAGAGGCCAAGTCTGCTTCTAGACTCAAAGAGTATGCTTGTGTGTGTATAAAACTGTTAAGGTAAGAAGTCTGAACCTCCAGAAATGCTAAGGACATTTCTAGGAGTATAACTACCTATCATTGTATTTCAAAGTTTCTAGTATTGGAAAATTTCCATGCACGATCTTTGAGGCCTTCCAAGTAGCACAGCATGAAAGGATTGTACCCATCTTCCTGAATGTGAGTTGTAAACACTCTGGCACTGGGAAGTCACCTGACATTTGATTTGCCAGAAACCTGCAATTTGCATTTTCCCCTAGTTTTACTAGAAGTGATCTGGGAAACACACAAGCTAGTCCTGGGAGCTAGGTGGATTCAGGACCCTGCACTCATGTGTCACAGATGATGGCAGCTATGTAAACTGAGCACTCTTGGAGACGGGGCTCCCTGGCCTTGCTTCCCATGCGTCTTGCCACAGATGGCATGGAAGCTCTGGTCCAGGCTTGTGTGCGAACAGGGTGGCTGCCCACAAAGCTGCTCTGCGAACACACCCAGGTGTGCAGGAGAGCCAGCTGTCCATGCTTGCAGCAAGCAGCATGCCACCAGAGGTGCTGCAGGAAGCCAGAAGAGCCATGGTGCTAGATTCTAGCCAGAAATGATACCAAAGAAATAGGCCTTTCTGTCCCGATGCTTCTTAAATGGTGAGGCTAAGTGTGACTGACACCAGGGAGGGCAATCCACGTACATTCCATATCAGCTGTTCAGCTCGCAAAAGTCAGTCCATCCTCAAAAAAGTTCCTATTCCCTTTAAGAAGTCCATTTTTTAGAGTAGAAGAGAAAAACATGATGATGGTATAAGCCTGGGGCAGATAGTGAAGTCCCTGGTGTCTAAGGAGAAAGAACTCTTCCTCCTCAGCATAGCATGACTGTGGCCCAGACCTCAGCATGGGAACATCTGAAAAAACATTTGTGTTTTTAAAGACATAAGGTAGTTTCTATAGATTTGTTTAAAGAACTCTTGGGAATTTTCTTACCACACTGTACTACTTTTATAAACCTTCCTACAGAGGTGTTTACCATTCAGCATCCTTCCATTTAGGATTTATAAGTGCCCAGACTGTACAAGGTGCTATACAGCTGTTACACAGCTCCTCTCCACAGCTGTTGGAAATTAGCATAGACTTCTGCATCCACCACTGCCGGAAGCTTTGCCTGCCCAGGGGGCTGCAGGGGCCTGCATTCCAAACCTCCACCCACACCCCACTCCCAGGGCCTCCCAGTCTCTTCCCCATCCCACACATCCCGTGGTTTTTTTTAAATCAAGAAAGTTTCAGGGAATCAAAAGAGGTCGGAGATTTTTTAATTTAGCAGAATTACAGAAGTATATATTTTGCTACGAATATTATTCTATCACAGGAAATCCACTTTGCCCGTTAGTGTATGGCTAGTGTGTGTGTCTGCAGTCTCGATCACTTGAATGTTGCACCAGCCCTGGGGCTTCGGGGTGGCCTTGCAGGAAGGTTATCCACACTGCTTCAGGAAGCCTGCTGCAGTACTGCATGGTCATCCTTTCCCTCACCTGCTGTAGAGTGATCTGTGTGAACATGGGGCTGGGATTTCTGTGGACAATGTGCAGGGCATTTTGGCGTGAGATCAAGGCAGAAGCAAGATGTCTGCCATATGAATCGTGACGGCCTTCATTCCAATCTGATTCTCCTTGGCACTGCCCACATGCTATATTTGAAAACCTTGTTCCTCTTGCTCTTTCTAGAGCTTCACCTTTCCACTTACATATTATAGAGTTGTATAAATCTACCGACAACAGGTCCCCTCTGTCACCAGTGACACCGCCCTTTGGTTTGCTGTGGTACTTTGCTGTGTACTCTGTGGCATCATGTTACTATGTAAATAAACTCATTTTAATATGCACTAAGAGCCAGACTTCCCACCCTTGTCTTTTCTGCAACATGTCCACACTAACATGCTAGAGATAGATTGGATAGGATGGGTGCCTGTCCTTAAAATAGAAAATGACCTCATGCTTGGGGTTCTCACCCCTGCCAACACGGAATGCATTTTCCCTCTGGTAGCTTTCTTTTCTGAGAAAACTAGGCCTCAGAGAGAAAGTGGAGGCCCACAGCAACCCAAGCCCTAAGTCCACAGGTTTGCTGTGTGTGGTCGCCCCCTGGTGGCCAGTCAGCCTCCTGCAGCACAAAGGCATTGTGCTGCACTGTGGGGAGGCCTGGCTACTCCTGACTCTCCTGGTGGGAATCACAGAGCTGTGCAGATAAGGGGATCAAGAGCAGAGCTTGGAAAGCATTGCCTACAAAATCCATGCACCTTTGGCCTCACAAAGACTGATGAGATGATAGGCTGGCACTTTGGTAGCAGAGCAAGGAGGCCGCCAGCTTGAACCACAGTAACAACAGCGCCAGTGCTATTGGAGTGGGATGGAGGAATGTACAAATGGAGGCTTCAGATTAGACCCAGTCTTAGGTCTTTCTGGTCCCTGCATTGGACACTACCTGCAACCTGCATTTCTGCTCTTCTGCACAAGCAAGAACTTGAATTTACCTGTGTGTTTTAGGGACTTTTGGAAAAGTGGCCACCAGGTGAGAGTTTTGTATTGCCAAGGAGCAAAACCCACCTTTCTATGGACCTAAATTGTGTTGCCCGGGCCTAGGAAGACGGGCCGGGAGCAAAGCCACCAAACAAACAGTCACCAAGGACACAAGAACACAAAGGTTTCTGGAGACAAAAACAAGGGAAGGAGTAGGGTGGGGCTGGAGGTCACAGAAAGGTGCCCTGGGTCCTAGCTGAACAGAGCTGGCAGGGAGATGGGGTAGGGAGCAACCAGTGGAAGCATGAGCTGATCCTCTATGTGAGGATCCTCTATGTGATGACTCCTGGAGAGGAGTCATCCCCACTGCCTCTCCACCACCCCACCTGAGGGGGACCATTCCTGGGAGCTTCCAATGGGAGCCCAGTGAACCTCTTCTCACTGGGTTACCTGGAGGCCATGGGCCACCGACACTTGCCTGGAACCTCTGTCATCACCTGCCTTCAGAGTGACAGCCTGTGACACGGATCCTGGATTGTTTTCCCACCAAGAGTTCCCCAAGTTTGAGGACCCTACATGCGCACCCTCCATTCCAAGAGCTCCTTGCCTGCTCTCCAGGGCCCAACAATCATGCTTCCTTGTGAGAGAGCCTGTACCTTGCAAGGGAAGATGCTTCCTTAGCACCTTAGGAGGCAAGAATTGTGAAACACAAGTTAGCATCAAGAGCTGCTCAAGGCAATTAGAGCTGAAATGTAAAATTTAATCTTGCCCCCACTGTGAAATCTGATTCCAAAATTTGCAAATCTCCCAAGAGGAGACAGGCTGCCTAGGTACAGCCCAGCTTCTGGAGATCACAGATAATACTCTGTGCACACATGCACACACACTGCAAAATACATCCTTGTCTTCTGGAAGGTGCAAGGAAGCAGCCAGAAGGCAGTGCACTGATGGCCTCCAGTCTCAGCTAAGGAATCCAATGGCCTTGGATGGCTGCTAGGAAATCTGCAAGCATGTGGACCGGGGGCCTCTAGAGAAACAGCCACCATTCCTAGGGGCACAGAGGCCCTGCCTCGGTGCAGGACAGTGCTCTCAGGTCCGGCCTACACTCACCAGCCATACAGGAGCTGGAATCTGAGGTGAAGTGAAACCTCTGGGCACGCACCCTTGGCCCAGGTGCCTTTCCTCCAATCACTCTCCAGCAGAGGCAGAGTATGCCTTAGCCTCTCCATCTTGAGCCTGAGGCTGACTCTGGAAGAATCAGGTGTCCACCCTGCCCAACCTAACCCACTCCTCCCATTGCAGGGCAGGGCCTGTAAACCTCCCCCAAGGATGGGGTCTCTGTACCTCTGAGCTTTCCAGAGACTCCCAAGGGCAGGGCAGGTGCCTGTCCCAAGCACCTCTGTGCCCTAACCTGGACACTGCCCAGCAAGCCCAAGCTCACCTCAGAGTTCACAGAAACAACCCCAACAAGCAACTCGATTGTCTCTTTTCACTAAAACATCATGTATGGCTCCCTTTTCCCCATACAGTTGAGGAAAATGTCTATTTTTATTCAGTGATAAAAGCTGAGTTTGCAGCTTCATCTGTGGACATCCTGGGCAGTTCTCTATCTTCCTACCCATGCCTGCCAGCTATGCTGTGCATGGACACTGAGGAGAGCAGGAGAGGGCAGCCTGGGGGAAGTCGGGACACTCATGCTTCTGTTCTGTTCAAGTGCCCAAGCTGGGCTACAGCTGAGGGCAGAGCCTGTGAGATCTCACTGGCTCTGGCAGGTAGGGAGACTGGAAGGGGCGCCCACTGGACATACGGCACAGGGGCAGAAGTTTCTACCCAGAGCCAGGGTCTGGAATGACTCACTGTCCCCTGGAAACTAGAGACCACCTGCCGAGCTATTTTCCCACAGACCCAGTAAGCCCTAGGGTGCTTCTAACCTTACACGCAGGAAAGCCTTGGATGTGACCCTGGGACCAGCCCTCATGTCCACTCTGGGCCAGCCAACCACAGCTGCCCTGCCCTGGGAACCATAAATCTGGCTTGGATGGAGCTTGAGCATGTCTTAGCTTCTGTGAACCCTGCTTGCTCTATCTGTGGAAAGGCCCTTTCCTGTACCCCAGGTCTCCCCAGCACCGACACCCCTGATTCTTCCCACTCCTTGACCTCACTTATCTGGGGCCAATGCATCCAGCCTTGAGGAGTGGACAGGGGTCCCTTCTGCAGGACACCAGGGACCTGTCTAGACAGGTGTTTGGGAACCCCAGGAAGGGCAGAAGGTGATGACCTGTGCCTAGCAGCTGAGGAGGTGCCCTTCTGGGGAGGGAGCTGCCCGGGGAAATCTAGCTAGGCACACTTCCCACTCTGTAATTTTACCTCCACCACAGTCCTGTGAGGTCCTTTCTGGAATTATCCTCATTTTACCAACAGGAAAAAAGTTTCATTTGCCCAAATGGCCAGTGAGGGAAGTAGCTCTGTCTCCATCCCAGCCAGTGACCAGCACTCAGGCCACCCACCACCACCACTGTCTCTTGCCCTAGACACCAGTGGCTTCATGGTGCCCAGAGAAGGCCAACTACTGATCCAGTCACCACACAGCTCCACCCTGCAGGCTAGCAGGCAGCTTTGAGAATCCATCCCATGGTTCCTGTCCCCTCTCCCTTCTCTCTGGGGACCCCATTAGCCCAGAAGTGCTGGGGTGACTCCCGTGGAAACTTTGTCACCCATCAGCCACCACCTTGCTCCCAGACTGAGCTCCTTGCCCCGTGCTGTGGCCTGGGACACCAACTCTGCAGACTCTGCACAGTGGCAAACTGGCCCACAGCTGCATAGCTGTTAAGCCAGTGGGTTGGGGTCAGAGCCTACGCCTGGCTGGTTGGAAAACCATTCCTCTCCCTACCATCACAAGGCCCTTGTCCAGTAGCCAGGCTCCTGTCCTGAGGCATCACCCACCTGTGACCACTAGGGAGCCACAGAAGACTTCTTGGGGTGGCAGAAAGTGTATATAGGAAGAAAGGGTAGAGTGGGGGCTGAAGAGTCAGCTCTGGGGCCTCTTGCTGTGAGACCCCCACTGGGCATCTGTAGCCCCCAGGCAGGCAACAGGCACAGCTCTGACTGACCTGGGAATAGTTCCTCCAGAGGCCCTGAGCAGACTTGTTCTCCACACCTTGGGGAAGGAAGGCCAAGCTTGTCACACCAGTGGATGTCACTGCCCCCTGGCAGGTGTCTGGGCTTCACCTCTTCCCCAGGGGCTCTCAGCACAGCTTCTGGACCCACCAAACAACCAAGAGGCCACCAGACTCCAGGAAAGACACTGGCACCGTTTTCCCCTGTTCTCTCTTCAGCAGGAAAGGGTTATCTGACCCCCTTCCCCCCTTCCCTTCCTACCCTGTCACAGAATCACTCCATGTTGGTGTAAATAACACACACACACACCTGGGGGCTCCACTCAGACAAAAGGCAACATTACAAGGCATAATGTCTGCAAGTCATGTCTCAACAGCACACCACGGACATCCAACTTTTAAAAAATAGCTTCTCCCACTAAAAATGATGCAATTCTGTAACAGACATGTAAATTTTATCTCTGGCATTAGTCATGTACTGACAGATGAATAAAAAATG